GCCGCGCCCCCAGCCAATGGCGAGGAGACCAGCACTGGCTGCACGGATTGAGTTTCACTCCTGCCGCTTGAGATTTTTCTCTTTCTCTCCCTGTTGTGCTTTTCCTCTTTGTTTATGGGATTGGGGAAGCGAACACGCTGATGGAGTCCTAGCAAGCAAGACGTTTGCCTAGTGGACTTGGGATTCCACCTTCAGTGCTGAGCAACCCCTTCTTGCCATTGCCTACCACAGCTCCAGCCCCCTGACATGGCTGGGCTTTTATGGCTCCAAGCCTGAGCACACAACCCGCCCTCCTCTATTAGGGCATTTTATGTTGTGTTCTCTTCTGTGCACTTCCTTTTTGCTGTCCTTAGAGGTTAGTGTAAGAGGCTTTTGAACGCATGGGAGATGGGTCAGGACCAGACAAAGCAACAGATAGAGAAAGGACTCCATCTTTACCAGTCTAATCAGACCGAAAAGGCCCTGCGAGTCTGGATGAGGGTTTTGGAGAAGTCTGCGGATCCTGCTGGCAGGTTTCGGGTTTTGGGTTGCCTCATCACTGCTCACGCAGAGATGGGCAGATACAAAGATATGCTGAAGGTAAGGCAACTGGAGATGAATGCATGCTATTGTGTCGCACCCCCTACGGAGTGTGGCCGGAGATCAGAATGTGAATTTGGGGGGTGATTTTGTATATAGTAAAACATACCAGCTGTTGAGTGTGTATTGCGGGCTGCCATAATAACTGTGTTGACCAATAGCTCCAGCCCACAAGATGCACAGAGTACTACTTTTCATTGGGTCCGGTCCCTCAAGATTCCCCAGTTATTGAGGTTCTCCAGTTAACCATGGGGACCTTTCTTGATTTATTCCCCACATACAGGCACACCATGTTATCAGGCTTCAGGAAAAGGTATGAAAACAGGGCCTTTGCTCCACTTAGAGCTGCTTACAGTGTGTATGTCTGTAAAAAGAGCTCTCCAAGTGGATTCTGTAGAATAAGCGGCAGTCTTCTGGAGATGTGGCTGTTATCTTGTTGTTGAACTGCTGTTTGATACCTAATAGATCTTACATTGGTTTTTATTACAATTATTTGTTTGCAAGGGGGCTGATTAAGAGGGGAAAGAGGATGCTTTTTGTCAAAGGGTGTTGAGGCATGTTCCAGGAGGGGTCTGACACTGAGGTCAGAGAGGGGCTCCCGGTTGTGAGGACAGCACAGAAGAAAGAAGGATATGGGGCTTGATGGAAGAGTGGTAAAAAGAAGCTGAAGCTAGATATCAGGAGCATTGAGGATAAATGTGTTTGATTAAATGAACAAAAAGAAGCTGATGCGTGGATCTGAGAAGTAACAGGATATATAGAGAGCAGCAGGCAGTGTTTGGGAGGGTGACTCGGGAATCGGGAAAACAAGGCAAGAGAATGTTGTAATAGTCTTAAGAAACTATCCCAGCCTGAAATAGGGTCTTTCTGAAGGGCCTCGATATTCTTGTCCTGATGTTTCTGGTTGCCTCTTGCTAGACTGGTAATCATTCAGCATTTAGCACAAACTGTGAAGGGGGTGCCCACATCTTACTGAAAAGTTTTTGGTAACTCTGATTAGAATGGGGGCAGGGAGGGAACACATCTTACTAGTAAACCCATGCACATGTCAAAGCCCTATCTTAAACCCAAATATTTTGGATGAAGAAGAAAAAAAGGGGTATTAATATACTTGGAAAACATTTGAAGAAAAACAGTTCTGGTAAGTGATGTGGAATTAGGTGGTGGCAGAAACAGGAGACTGATTAGGAAAGAGAGAACCAAAAAAGGTAAGATGTGGCTACCTGAAGGAAATACTGAAGGCTTCACAGAAAACTAGACACAGGCAAAATAGTGGGCTCAGTATACCTGGACCTTAATTTGTTACCTGAGAAGAGAAGAGAGAGTAGAATCAGAGCAGGTGAATTTTAGTTCTTCCCAGTATTAAGAAGGAAAAATGGCCTTAGTCAAACTGAAGATTTTACTCCGTGAGTGATCAAAGACAGAGGAAGGAGAACTTTAGCAATAAACAATTGAGAGAGGAAATAACATGAGAAAAGGGATTAAAGGCATGAAATTAATTATGATTTAAGGAGGGTTATGATGCTCAACCTCTTTTGGAGAGAAAAATTACTTCACATCAAGGAAAGAGGCTCTGGCAATCAGGAAATAATGAAGAACTTGTACGAAGGTAAGGGAACGTGGGGGAGCATGAGCTGGGTCACATTAATGGGTCTGCATAGCAGCTTTCCTAAAGTGCTAAGGAAACTGAAAACATACATACCCAAACATGCGCAATTTATGTTTGGTTTGGGTTTTTTTGTGAAGAATGTGAAATGTTCTAGTAGCTTAAATTATTACATGCTGCCACTAAACAAAAAGGAAGTAATTGGTGCCCTTGGGAATTGTTATCCATAAACCTAACTGATAATCTCTACTGAAAACACAAACTGAGAAAATTGCTAAATATTTACCTTTGTTACTGATACTAATTCAAGCCAGCAGCGTGCTTGCTTCATTACAAAGCACAAAAGAGTCACTGCTCAGAAGAGTTTACAGTCCAAGAGACTTAAGTCATCTAAGAGGACTGTATGCAATGAATCCTGAAGGTTACAGGAAAAAACCTGTCAAGACTGCAATGTGTTCATAAAAAAAATTGATGAAAGAAGCAGCTTGCTTACTTTCTTTTATTAATAGAGTACTTCAGTGTCTTAAAATTCCAGAGACAGTGGAATAAATTAAACTGAGTGAAAGAAAACTGAGCTGCGTTGTCTGATGTTTCCTGCTTCACCTGCTTCTCTTTAGGGCTGTTTAACAGCTTTTTTCCACTAACCGCCAGCCTAATTCACCTTCCTTGCCCCAGAGACGGTGTGGCGAGGGGGAGAGGTTTCTGCAGACTGCTCACGGGCCTTTTAAAACACCAGATAACTGCTCAATGCATACGATGCTTCTCTTCTCAGTCTGTGCTGCTGGACTCCTCTGCCCTGCTCAGAGATGAGCCACTTCTCCAGTACAGGGTGCTGCTCTGTGGGTGTTTGAGCTGCATTTGCATAAACAACACACTTTCATAAACACTGTCTTTTCTACTTAAAGTTTGCAGTGGTACAGATTGACACAGCACGGGAGCTGGAAGACCCGGATTACCTTACAGAGAGCTACCTAAACCTGGCTCGCAGCAATGAGAAACTCTGTGAATTCCAGAAAACAATCTCTTACTGTAAGACGTGCCTGAACATGCAGGGTACCACTGTAAGCCTGCAGCTGAATGGCCAGGTGAGCCTCAGCATGGGCAATGCCTTCTTGGGCCTCAGCATTTTCCAGAAGGCTTTGGAGTGCTTTGAGAAAGCTTTACGCTACGCACACAACAACGATGACAAGATGCTGGAGTGTCGAGTCTGCTGCAGCCTCGGGAACTTCTATGCCCAGATAAAGGTGCGGTGACCTAAGGGACGGAAGGGTGATTGTCTCATGGATGCAGGAAGGAATTTGAAATGATGTGAATTGCAGCTTATTTCTTTGCTATAGAAAATGGAGTACTGGCATAGCATCATAAGCTAAAATCGCTTCTTTGTAAAACCATCATTGAGTACTCTCCTTCACAGTAAGGATTAGTGTAATGCTTACATAGCACAGCAGAAGCAGCTGTGAATATCCCTGAGTGCTGAAAAGACCAAACTTGGCTTCAAAGAAGATCACATCAGAGGAGGTACTGTCTGCTCACGGGGCTGGCAGCCAGAACTCCTGGATTCTCTGTCTCTACCACTATTGCAGGCAAACAGCTATTATATGAGCAAAACCAGGCAGGAACTGAGGATGGGGGTGATTTGCCAGTTCTACCTTCTATCACAAACAGCAACAAATAGGTTTTTCCTCACAAAGTCTTGATTTTTGTCGCTACTGGAAGACTCACCAACTGAACTGTTAAAAACTATCAGTAAATTTCCCTCATAATACCAAAAATAAAGAACATTGTGCTGGATACTTTTAAGGTATGAAATAAGAAGGGAGCAAGGAAATTTTAAAAGTTGTGGTTTCCTTTGTGCAACTTGGAGAATTAAAAAATATGAGGACTTTTTAATTTCTGCAGTCTCATTTAACTTACTTGAGAATGGGTTTAGATATTTAGGTAATAGTTTTACATACTTACTGTAAAATAAGATTTCTTTCTAAAATGCTTTTAATGCAGAAAGATGCTTAAAAATGAACATATATTATATGATGACTTACTGTGGATTTGGTGAGGCCGTGATTCTTTGTTCCTATTTCCTACAATGATAGATGATGAGCCTCTTGGAGATCCTGACTCACCATATGGAGAACATAAGGCCTCCATGTAGGTGTTGAAAGCAGAGATGATGTAAGAGCAGAGAAAGTTTTCAGCCTTTGGTTACAGAGGAAGGTAAATGGTTCCTGCAGAGGAAAGCTGATGGCATACTATATAAAATTCACTTTCTGTGTCATTGCCCCAGTGTCTTGAAATCAGAGAGTAGTAGGAATACAGCATATGGCAATTCTACCTTCCACAGTGAAAACAACTAGTGAACTGTGGCATGTGGAAGAAGAGCAGCAGGAGTTGAAAGGTGTACAGAAATCTGCTAGCTGTTGCAGTGCTAGTAAATTTAAAAAAAGGGTGGTTTTTTTCTTTTTTCTTTTTGCTTTGTTTTTGCTGTAACTGCTGTCTATCTGCTTGTCTGCCTTACAGGATTATGAGAAAGCCTTGTTCTTCCCATGTAAAGCAGCTGAGCTGGTGAATGATTATGGAAAGGGCTGGAGCTTGAAGTACCGTGCAATGAGCCAGTATCACATGGCAGTGGCCTATCGGAAGCTGGGGCGCTTGGCAGATGCTATGGACTGCTGTGAGGTATAGTGTGCAGGCAGATGCAGAGCTGCCACAGGTCTCTGCAAGGGGATCTTGCCTACAGGACTGGGAGGAAGAGAGATACGATGGTATTCATGCTTGACTCTAGATGTTTCTGCTGTCTCCTGATCTTAGAGCTGTGGTTTCCGTAGCCCAGGGGGCCTCAGAAGTTTGGGTCTATGAATGACGCTTGGTTGGGAACTTGTGAACAGGACTTTACTTGCTGTAGAAAGATTGTGCCATTTCTTTGGAGCTAACCTGTCAGTGGCTGGAGTGCACGGTCCCAGCCCTGCTGTTTTGGACCAGGAACAAGCACTTCTACTGACCAAAGACAATTTCTTTCAGGAGTCCATGAAGATTGCCCTGCAGCATGGTGACCGGCCTCTGCAAGCGCTGTGCCTACTGTGCTTTGCAGATATCCATCGCAGTCGCAAAGACATGCAGGTACAGCTCTTTTCTGCCAGGAAGGACAGAGGGGAGAGCAAGAGGGTGTGAAAAGCAGGCCGTAGCAAAACATGTGTTTTCCTCCCTGCTTCTGCAGACAGCCTTTCCTCGGTATGATTCCTCCATGAGCATCATGACAGAGATTGGAAACCGCCTGGGCCTGGTCCAGGTGCTGCTAGGAGTGACCAAGTGCTGGATGATCCAGAAGGAGCTGGATAAGGTCAGTTATGAACTTGCTTCTACAGAATTTTGTTAGACTAGATGAGAGCATACAGTCTTTCTCTGAACCGTGCGCCCATCAAAGTGCAGCAGAGGCCTGTACCCCAACAGGGTCGGTTACTTGTACAGTGTTACTTCTCCAAATGGTCCCACTCAGCCTGGAGTTTGTTACTAATGTTACGAACGTCCATTCTGAGTCAGACTGCTAACTTAGAGAATTGTCTCACTAGTCAATCCGGATGACTTAAAGCACTACACTGAGAAACCATCACTGAAAGAAGGAAGCCTACTCCTGCCATTGAGGGCAATCAGCTTATGCTCTGAAACAGATTCCACTGCCTACTTTTTTAGCTATATGACTAAGCTCATTGTTGTGATAGTGATAACATTTAGACAGCTCTACAGCTCCACCATGTGCTTTGCAGACAAATGTGACATCAAATTCCTAGAGAAACTCTGAAGGTATATAAACTGTGACGTAAAACAGAGAAATGAGAGAAGAAAATCATTTGTGAATAGACAACCAATCAATATAGTACAAAGTGGTGACATTACTTACTTGGAAAATGCTTAGGCAGTGTATGTGTATAAAATCCAGATTGTACTAGATACAGAAGATTGCACTGCAGGAACATTACTGGGCTGCAGAATGAGATCCTCAAAGGTTAGCCTTGAACTAGTGCTGAACAACCTGGTATGCCTGCCTGCACAATGCCGCATCAGGATGCAGGTTTGGGTGTAGATATAATGAAGATTCACTCTTATCACTCATATGACATACAAAGAAATTTAGCTCAGACAAAGCATCCCACATAGTAGGAAATCAAGTAGTGTGTCTGTTGGAAGAGACAAGTTCAAGGTGCTGTCAGCATTTGAGTTGCCTACAGCAGAATATCAGTTGGGTGAGATATAGCTTGCAATCTCAGTAAGTAAACACTACATTTGCCATGGAAGAAGAAACTGTGGACTTTGCTCAGTGTAATCCCTTCCCAGCCTCATATCTCATACTCAAAAAAATGGGACAGGACACAGCAGGTAGGCCTCTACATGAGAGAATATTCAGACCATTCATCAAACCCTACATCCCCTGATCCCACCTCCAGCCATTGCCACCCTCTGATACCACAAGCAGTTCTCACTTGTGAGAGCCTGGTGAGGGCTTTGCACGGAGCCCTAATCTCACCAAAACCCACAAAAGAGGAGAATGAATAGATGAATCTTGTATTCTGTTCCAGGCGTTAGAAGGAAGCTTGCCCTAGTGGGTCAGGGACCTTATGACCATTGCCCCAAATGTGACCCCCTCAAATGACACAGCCCTGAATACTCACCCAAGCCTGTTCCTCAACTTGCCAGTCCCAGTTTCTATTTCTCATGCTACTCACCCCAGTATCAGTTACCCAATAAAGCAGTTTGCTAACTTTGCACTTGCAGATTCCCTGTTCTTGTCCTAGCCTCCTCCATCTTCCCAGTCTCCTTGCCCAGTTAGTCGGTTTCCTTTCGTTTGCATGTAGTCAGTACTACTGCAGATCCTTGCAGGCTGTTTGACACAAACTGTGCCCTGGACTTCTCAGCACCTCTTCCCCCACCCCGCATGCCTCACTTCGATTCTTAGTCCCGGTCATTAATTTCAGGGTTTTCCAGTACGCAGCCAGTCGTCATAGGTTATGTTCTACCTGCTGGCCTTCACTTCCTGCTTCCCTCTTCTACAAGTTCCTTATCCTACGCTGCTGCTGCCACCACAGGTCTAATGCTATCTCTTCTGCATTCAGGGTGCATGCTTTCATCTCATCTGGTCCTCCTCTCCTAGAATGGCAGTAATGCCAAATTATAGGGCAGAAATTTTATAATATTCCTCCTGAAAACTACTGCATCACGAGGGAGACCTCTTCTTCCCCTTGGACAAATCTGAAGCAGATCTCAGTTGTTCTGGAAAACAGAGATGATGAACAGTGAGGAACACTGTGGTGTCTAGGGGAAAGTAGGGTCTCATTTTGGTATAATACTCTCCTTCAGACTGAAAAAGAGATAGGAGTGCACTCCTACATCACACCATGTGTAAGTAGGACAAAGTGGGTATATGAACGGCAGGGGAAAAAATAGAAAGGTGTGGTGTGTTGGTGGTGCTGATCCCTTTCCTCCCCTCTTGTGCAAGTGAAATTGTAGTTGCCCAATGATTATTGAGCCTGTAGGGCAGGACAGGGAAAAGGCTTGCTTTGCTTATGCTTCATTCCAAACCCAGTGAGCATGTGGGACTGAGTTTAAATAAGTCTGTAATCTATCTGCTTGGAAACACCAGCCTCTGCCAATATTGTACCCCTACTTTGCACTGTGTGGCTGGAACAGGAATGTAGCTCTTGGATTATTTGTGGATTTTCAGAAACCGAGCTTTTCTTATGGATGAAGAAGTAAGGAGGGGAGGGAAATCTGCCAGACAGCTGTCTTACATCTCCAGAGTTGCAGTGATACTTGTTTATCCAAATTCTACTCTGTACCTCTTTCTTTTAAAAATTCCTATAAGGCATTCATACTAGCCTAGTTTTGATATATCAGACTGAGAACTGATGATGCATGCTCTCTATTCACAGGCTCTGGAAAGCATTGAAAAGGCACAGGAGCTGGCAGAGGGACTAGGGAACAAGGTAGGACCCTACAGCTTTTTCTTCAGCACTGTCTGTAGTCTTCTGTCAAGCAACTTAAGAAGCCAAACGTTGAAATATCCAGACTTGTAATTGCTTTTTAACATGTCCGTATTAACCAGTCGATGCTTGGGACTTGCTTTGTTGTGAAGTGTTTAGTTGTGGGCAGTTGCACAGATGATCATCCATGTGCAAGTCTGAAAAGTGAGGGAGGCGTCACAGTGGGATAAACAAAGGGGAATGTGAAACAGTAAAAACAGGGTGTGAAACGAGCAGAGGATTGGGGTCTCTTCTTGAAAAATATTATTGCCCTGAGCAGCAGTTGAACTGTGTGCTGGCTGGAGGCAAAGGGAAGTGAAATACAGCATATGGCACAGATAGCTCAGGGAAACCATCTTGGTGAAAGAGCTGCAGACTGCCTCAAATCTGGTGTCCCCTTTTGTGATACAGAGAAGTAGGGTTAATGGCAAGAAGTGCTGAGACACCAAACATCGTCCTTATGAGTGATCTTATCCCTTGGGCAGCTTTCTATGCTGATGTTTCTCTAGCTGGCTGATGGGGCTGTAGTGTTTTCACTCCTTCTGGTACTGGTCTGTCTTGACCTTGTTCACTTTTCTTTATCTTTCTGCCCTTCACATGTAGCTTGGCCTGCTGAAGCTCCACTGCCTATGTGAAAGGATCTATCGCACAAAGGGGCAGCAGCGAGAATTGCGTGGCCATGTAGTGAAGTTCCATGAATGCGTGGAGGAGATGGAGCTGTACTGTGGCATGTGTGGGGAGTCCATTGGGGAGAAGAACAACCAGCTCCAGGCGCTGCCTTGCTCCCATTTCTTCCACTTAAAGTAATGAGCTGGAAGTACTACAGATCCTTATGACATTAGTCATACGAAAGAGCTGTTGAAGCCCAGAGGAGGACAGTCCTAGGCATGCTGTTCCCTAGATCTTTTTCCTGCTTATCTGGGCCCTGCAGCATCCCATTGCGGTGTCATGAATCTCAGGGCCTTGAAGGCTGAGATTGAGCCGTAATATCCATCCCGCTCCTGTCCCTTCAAATGATCATTCACTATCTCCTCACTTTGTAGGTGCTTAGCCTACTTCATGGGTTCTTATTTAGTTCCTCTTGGGGAATTCGTTCTCCCCTCCCAGGGGCAGTGGGGGTTTTTCCCCTGAATCCCCCCACTTTCTGTCATCTAGAAGTACACTGAGGTGATGTTCTGTCTGTTACTGTGCTACTGCCATGAAAGAAGTTAGATGTACCATCATTTTATGTTTAGAAGAGACATGTGTGCAAACACACTTAGTTCTGAAAATTAAGAATTTAAAACCACCACCTGATAGTGACACTAAAGTTAGGCTCAAACTACGGGGCAGCGAGAGGAGCCCGGTGCGCCCTGGGGCTTGGTCTCCAGCAGCGCGGGGACTTACGGAATGGGCGGGATCAACTCTTTGCCCGTGACGGGAGGGACCTTTCCCTGCGGTACGGGGGCAGCGGGCAGAGCTGCGGCGGG